TTTTCTCTTTTTTTCCCCACCCCTGTAAGCCACTGGCTGGGTGCACGGTGTCAGGGTCTTCTCCGCCAAGGAGCTCAGGCATGCCTTTGGTTCGTTCATTATTTGCTTAGCCTCTCTGCTCGTTATTGATTATTCATCTATTATGGAGCATTAACAGTCACGTAATAGATGGCTGTCTGGCCCGCTTGGCGAGCTCTTCCATAAAGATGCTGTTTGATCTTCAGCACTTGCCTTATTAAATCTTGGTTACTGCACAGGCTATTTTTATGCTACCCAAATAACAAACTAGCTGCCTTTTGGCGAGAGAGGAATGGGCGTGGGGTAGGAGCCGCAGCGGCTGGGTTTGCAATGTGGAGCGAGGCTGCAGCACGCGGGTCTAGCACGCGGCGACCGTCTCCTGAGACTTCTCCAGCGCAGGGGATGGGACTTCAAGCAAAACCGACTTCAACTTGGTGGCCGTGCTCAGAGATCAGCGTATTTTAGGGGCTTCGCATCAAACCCCGTGTCGTCTTGCAAGCGTTAATCGGGATAACCAAATGGCTCCAGAGACCCTGTGCCATGAATGAATGAATAACCCGGATTTTGCTGCAGAAGCTGAGGAAGCCCAACAGGTCCCCAGAGGCAAGCAGGGCCAGGCCAAGAGATTTTTACAGCCTGGAGTTTTCTTTGGTCGGGGAAGTCTTCCCTTCTCCGGTTGGGCTTCCTCTGACGCCCCCGCCTTGGCTACAGCAGCTTGGCCAGACACCCACCCCAGTGGCTTGGTGTGCCCCCGTTATAAGATTTTGCTAGGCTTTTACTTTACAGCGATTGCCATTCCCCTCCTTCCTCCCCCTTCCCGACAACTTCGAGAAGTTTGATGCTTCTGTTTGTTGCGGCTGTAGCTAAAAAGAGCTCCGATCGTTGGCATTTTATATAACCCTTTATGGCTGTGGACAGATTTAGGGCAAGGCAGCCGATTACAACCGGCTTCTCCATCTCCCTCCCCCCCACCATAACTTCGTTCCTACAAGTGCAGAGCGGCACACGGATACATCACGAGCTGCTTTGCTGGGTGGCGGCTGCGACTTTGCAGGGAGCGACGTTCCTTTCCAGGCTGGGGAAGTCGCAGCGGGAGTCTAACGTGCTGCTAAATCCCAGCTGGTCCGAGCAATGCAGGGCCATTCTCCTGGGATGTCATCTGTCCTCATCAGTCCTTTGCAGGGCTTGAAATACCCGCTATTTCTCAGTGCTTTCAGGTCTCCAATGCAACTTGGGGGTTGCCAGCACAGCTAATAGTTGAAGGAGAGGGGCTGGGTTAGGGTTAGGGCCTGTTGCCACAGCTGGATGCAGCATCTGCTCGCCCACCTGCTGAGCGAGGGGAACTGCGGCATTGCAGACAAGGACGGCCTCTGTCCGTGGCCACGGCAGTGGAGGTTGCTGGTTCCCGGTGCCTGGCAGGAGGGTGGGTGACAGCCACGTAACCCCCAGCCCGGCTCCTCTCTGCACAGCATGCATGCCTATATTTCGTGGGCTAGGTGTCCATCCCACTGGTCCCCAGGGGGTATCTGCTGGGGTCTCAGCACCGTCTCGTGGGATGGGTCCCTGGCAGGATGAGGCCTCCCTGGACTCTGCCCCTCCGCTGCCGTTTCTAGCCCGTTCCCCTGCCGTTGTGCTGAATCACGGATCCAGCAAGGAGCAGGAAGGTGCTTTGGTAAGAGGCTGCACCCGCGGAGAAAAGCTGTGACACATGTAAACGCCGAGGCAGAGACGGCTGCCGGCAGCACTGTTGAGTCAGGGACCCGGGCGGTGAAGGCGCAGGAGTTTTTTGGGACCGGAGGATGCACGGCTGCCGCGGGGGATGTCTAGACAGCCGGCAGAGCCACGGGTGGGTTGGGGGCCCCCAACCCGCTCGGATCCAGCTGGGGCTGCCTCCCCAGGGAGCGCGGCCCCTGCGCTGAATCACCCGCGGGGCCCCGGCGCCCGGCCCTGCCCTCGAGTCAGCGTGTGTTTTTTTTAAATAGACCTCGGAAGAAGCAAAAAGCAACGCTGCTGCCAATAATAGCGCGGACAACTTCCTGCCCGGGTGGCAGGTGGCAGGAGCAGCCTGTGAGACAGCCGTGGGCACGCCGAGATGCGGACAGGTGTTGCTGCGAGCTGGGGCAGGGAGCACTGATTTTGCAGCTTTCCCCCTCGCTGGTGCATGGAGAGCATCTGTATACACTCCCTCCGCGGGCCAGGGTGCTTGCACACCCTGCACCCAGCAAGCCACTTGCTCTCTGTTTCCGTGCCCAGTGACCTCTGGGAGGTGGCTGCATGACCGCCTCCGCTCCAGGCCGAGCCTGGGGGTGCAGAGTAGGTGCCACATGGCAGCCTTGCCTGTGCTTCGGGAAGCACGGTCAGGATTGGGCCCTAGCGGGGTCACCCGCATCGCAGGTCCCTTAAGTGATGCACTGAGGCAGGGAGGTGCTGTGTGGGGAAGAAGTATGGTGCGGGCAGGGCGTACCACCGGGGATGTCGTGTCGCTGGCACAAATCCCAGTGCCACGTGCAGGGCAGGCAGCGTGGCCGGCGTGAGCGAGCTGGAAGCCGTGGGCAGCAGACGGATGCCAGATCTCCCTCAGGGGGGCTGTTTTGGGGGCAGAGAGGAGGGAGTCGCGATGGGGGGCACATGGGTCCCATGCCAGAGTTAGGGCACGGCCTTTCATTTGTGGGGAACGTGCCCAGGCTTCTTTGGAGCCGGAGCCCGCAGGGCAGGAGGGGAGACACGCTGCGTTAAGGGACCACATCAAACGCCCCAGCAAATGTGACGCGCAGCTGTCCCACTTCCTCCGCCGACTTTCTTGGGGGCTGCGAAATGCAGCCCACACGGGCTTCCACATCGCTGGTGGGCGCAGCTTGAGAAGGCAGCTTCGGGGTTTTACAGGGTGGTAAAGGCTCAGGGTCACGGTGGCATGCATCGGCACTGATCCTTTCCCCCTCTCCCCACAGGCCAAGGCCAGGTGTGGGTCTAGGGGAGTGGGGGGACCTCTAGCTTCATCCAAAGAGTCCGTGGATTTGCTCATGGTCTTGGTCTCCACGCTCTGAGTGACCATCCAAATGGTGCCCCCTCCACCTGGTCCACGCCACCAAGGCTTTTGGCACAACTCAGGACCCTCCTGCAAAGCTTGGCCTGTACCCACATCCAACACCCCCGTGCAATGGCACTGCTCCTCTGCCAAGCAGAGCTGAGCTTGTGCATCCAGCAGCCGGCAGGAGCTGTGCGCCGACACTCCCGCTGCCTTTCCCGGGCACACGCTGTGCTCGGTGCACGGCTGCTGGAGGGGACCTGCCAGGAGCCCAGGCACGTGCATCAGTCCTGGAGGCCTGGCCGCAGCAGCTGCTATGTGTGCCCTGTCCATCCTTAGTCTTTTTTGCACCCCTTTAAGTAGCAGGGGCACAGCAAGGCTTCCCCTTTGTGCAGGACATCAGCTCCATGCTCTTCTTTCCCCTCCCCACTAAAGCAGCCTGCGAGAGGGTCTGTAACTGCAGCTTCAGTGCTTGGGACTTGCCATTTGGCTCCAACCAGAGAAGGTTTGGGGGCAGGGTAGCATGGGAGGGAGGAGGAGGCCTTCTTCAGCGGATGCCTTTGATCATCAGCAGAAGCAGCGAGGGAAACCCTGGGGCACCAGGTGGAAAGGTAATTAGACTCCAGCTTGGGATGCGCTCGCAGAAATACCCGCTCCGTCCCCCCCTGGAGAAGCCCTCTGCTTTCCTGTGCTTTCCCGGGCCTGTCCAATGCAGGAGCAGTGGGTGGTGGTGTCTTCCACCCCCATCCCAGGCTCGGTCCCGGGAGCCAGGCTCCAGGCTGGCCGGACATTACATTCTTGCTCTGTGCGATGGCGGTGGGAAATGCAGCCCCCCAGCCCGTGGCCCAGCTCCCTGCCACGGCTGCTGAGCCCTTCCCTGCCCTGCACCAAGAACATCCTCCTGCATCTTCTCTGCTTGTTGTCAGGGGGAGGGATGGGACGCGGCATGGGCAGGGGATCCATGCTGGGCTCCGGGGCCCTGGGAAACAAAAGCATCTTGAGCAAGGGGCCGTCACCAGAAAGCTGTCAGCCTGCAAAGAGGAACCCCTGGCTTTCCGGTGCCGAGGGCGAGAATGACTTTGCAAAAGGAGCCCTCGGTGCTAAATCGTGCATGAGCCCCGTGCCTCTCCGGGCGCAGGGCACGTCACTTAGCCCCCGTGCCTCTCTCAGGGGCAGGGAACAGCCATGGGGCTGAGAAGCCCTGGGGGCTCTTCAAGCCGAGGCACAGGTAACCCTCCCTCCCTGCCCCACCTCCAGCACCATGCTTTCCCCATCCTGCCGTTTAGCACCCGTGTCTTTACCAAGACATCTCATCTCTAGTGGCCTCAGAGCCGTCCAGCAGAGATGCCACCTCTTCCCCGGGGTTGACTCAAGGAAAGTGGCTGTATTCCTACCAGGATTCCTCCTGTTTGCCACTCTTTAGCCACCAAAAACCCCACACAGTTCCAGGCCCTTCCCTTGTGTAGCTGGATTCTGTATCCAATGGGTAGGTACTACAGATAAGTATCACTGAGGCTCCCCTGCCGGTGCTTTCAGTGGCTGAACTTGCAGTGACTCCCGAAAGAGGAAGGTCTGGCCTTGCTAGCAATTGTTGCTCCCTGCCCGGTGGCTGGAGCTGTGGGGAGTCGTGCATGTTGGGCAAGATGGTTCTCTCGTTATGTCAGGCTGCGTTTGTGGCAGCGCGGGGGCCACCTCCGCTGCGCGCGGCAGCGACGCCGGAAGTGGGAAGTAACTGCGATAGGCAGATCCTGCGGGGTATATTTGGTACCCTCGCCGGTCTGCCAGGGGGTTGGGGGGCCAAGCTGGCGCCAAAGCCGTCCTGGGAGAAGGGGAAACCGGTGCAGTCGTGTGTCCAGGAGAGGACGGTGTTTTCCCCCATGCCTGAGTGATGGGAAGGCAGGCGCCGCATCTCCTAGACCCCATCGGTCCCTACCGTGCATAGCGGGACCAGCCAGCTAGCCTCACCTGGTGCGGGAAGGCTGCCCAGCGGGGACAGGCTCATTGACAACGCTTTCCCAAAAAAGGTCTGAACCCTTTGCTTGCTTCTGCCACTTCCCTCGCCACTCCCTTTCCTGTGAGAGAGAGGATGTGCTCAGTTTTCTCTCTCTCTCTCTCTCTCTCTCTCTCTCTTCAGACCTGCCCTATCACTTAAATGCTTCCCTTAAGCGGAGAGGCTGGCACGGGGACCTTGCCCGGGAAGGGAGTCCAGGATGGCTAGACGGAAGGTTTCCACCCACAGACCAGGTACCACCAGCCCCGCGTCCCCAGCCCGGCTTTGCTAAGTGGCTTCTCCTCCGAGGCCCGAGGTGCCCGGTCGCGGCAGGCTGGGCTCAGCGCGTGCCAGGGGGGAGCGGGGCAGGCTTTCCGCCATCTCCGCAGCTCCCCGATGATGGGGTGGAAAGGATGCAGAACAGCGTCTCTGCATCGTCCCCACCGCTGGACGCGGCCGACTCCCACGCTGCCTGAGGTTTCCCTCCCTGCAGAGGGGAAATCCGCTGGTGAACAGCTTTGCCGCCACCTTGCAAAGCAGGGCCTCGAGACGCTGAGACTCAAGCTTTGCTGCCTGCAGTGATGAAGGAAGTAGGCGCTGTCGGGGCAGAGCCTGCTCCTAGCACGGGGCTGCCCGGCAGTAGGGTCTGCGGCGGTGTTGCAACCCGCCGGCCGGACGAGAGGGGCTGTCGTGTCTCGGGGGCAGTCCCCAGAAACCCCCTGACCGACCTTGATAAAAGTCAGGCAACACCCTTTGCTATTTGGGCCAAAAGGGTCGGTGCCCCCGATGCATCAGTGCATCCCCGTTCTGGTTCAACGTCCCCAGGGAAACCCCGCTGTGTGGGCTGGGCTCTCCCTGCCCCGTGCATGAAGTTAGCCCCAAACTTTCTGCCCTTCCTGGCTGCCTATCTGGGGCCAGCGGCCAACACCGGAGCTTCCCCCCAGCCCTCCCCAGCCCCGCAGTGATCCTTCAATCCACATCTGCTCATTGGGAGTCCCGAATCGGCACCGGGGAGTGCTGCAGACAGCGCCGGGGGGCATTTTGGGTGCTCTTCTGTACAGATCTAGGCGCTCGCTTATGTGACATGTAAACGGGGCAGGGGGAAGGGGTGGATTTGGATTTGGATTTCATTCCGGGCCCACATCGTTTCCTCTGGACCAGACGGGGAAGTGGCGATTGCGTTGACACTTGGTCACCGGGTGTTTTGCTGTGCCGAAGCATCGTTGGGTCGTAAAGGGAAGGGTAGCTCCGCAGCCCCGTTCGGATGGCGCAAGCAGGGCGTGGGGTTACATCACAGGACGTCGTGCGGCGCCAGGTTGGGAGCGGGGCCTACTCGTGTGGATCTCCGTGCAAAGGGAGACTTTTCCTCCTTTTTGTCGGCTGCTCTTGGGGGATAAAAATCTACTCCCCGCTTCTCAGCAGAGCTTTTCCCTCTCCGTCGATCTAATAGCTCAGTACCAGAATCGGGTTCCCTCCTGATGCAACGGAGATTAATATGGCCTTTGTCTCTTGCCTTGCTTCTGTCCGGCCGAGTCCTCGGCGTCAGGGTTGTGGAAGGGTGGGATCCCCGTTTGTTGTTCAGCTCAGCTCACAGAGACGTGAGAGCATTTCCCACCGGTAGTCGTTAGCTTGGAGAACCCAGCGGCCAGGTCTTTCTAGCATTTAAATGTCACGAAGGATCAGAGCCGAGGCCTTGCGTGCTCCCAAAGTTTATTCCAATGCAGTTGTTGTTGTTTTTGTGCCGATAACCCCGTTTCCTTCCTCGGCGCTGGTCAGGACACACGAGTCGGAGATGCAAGGTCAGATGTCACAGCGTTTGCTCGCTGCGTAACGCCCTTGTTCTTGCAGAAGGATGCCTGCCTGGCCGTTCACCTGCATCCTAAACCCCCTTTGCAAAAGGATCGGATGCACACCTTGCAAAGGCAGCAGGGCCCCTAAGGTCCTGCTATCTCATGGCTCAGACACCCAGAGCCTTGGGGGATCTTTTTGGCGTGGCCCTGCCAAGGATCAAGACTGAAGCACGTGCCTGGAAACCTGTTGCAGAAGTACACGCGTGTGCACCCCTTCCTCAGGTGTTGGGGTTCCTGGCCCAGGCTAACAAAACCGACAAAGAAAGCTCTCTCTCGCATGTTAAAGCATGCAACTCGCTGCCATCAGATGTGGGCACTGACCATTTAACCAGATTCACACAGGGATTGGAGAAATTCTTGGAGGAAAGGGGCATCAGTAGCTATTGAACGTGGGAGCGAGGGGTACAGCCTCCGAATCACAGCTTCCTAGATCTTGCAAGCTCTCTGCCACGGTGTGGGCAAGGTGGCCCTGTGGGCAGCGAGGGGGAACGCCTTGCGATTTCCCTGACCGGGTTGTGCTTGGGCACAGCGGCCCCTTTAAGGGCGGTTCGGTTCTCTCCACTTGGGAAATCTCCCCTGTTAAAGTCTTCCTCTTTTCAAAGCCGTGCACACGCGCACTCCTCTTCCTCCTAGCTCTGCTGGGCCCTCGAGGCAGGGCGCTGTCGCTGCCCGAGCTGAACTTCCTTCTTCGTGTGCTGTCAGCCCAACCTCCTGGTCTGAATTCCCCGGGCTCTGGACGCAGCCGGTGCCTGCCCTCCTCGCCCCTCTCACCAGCGCTCCCGCAAACCTCTTGCACACTGTGCACGGGCAATTGCAACGTGAGGAACCAGCTCCTCTCCAGCCGCAGTGCCCAGGTCGGTGGCACCCCCTTGGAGCCAGGAGTGCTGCCACCACTGTTGCCACCAGCTCCATGTGCAAAAGGCACCCCAGGCCCCTCCTGGACCCCATGCACTGACCATTAGGATGCGACCCGATGCCTTGTTGCTGCTATTTTTTCTCCCCAGCTCCCCTACATCTCTCTGTCTGCCCCCCATCTTTATGCCCTGGGACACAGACCTTTCCCAGCAAGCCAGCATCCTTCAGGATTTAAACTGGGGCTCTGTGAGAGTGAACCAGCGCCGTGTCCCGTCTTGGCTTGAAGGGTCACTTCTGAGCAGCAGAGAGAGGATGGTGCCGCCCTGAAACACGTGCATCATGGCTCAGGAAGGGTTCGGGTGTCCGTCAGCCCCCAAACTCTGCCTCGTCTTATTGCCACGGGGCTCCCCCTGGTCCATGGAGGGATGAAGGGATCTCTCAGAGGGTTTTGGCCCTGGCTTCCATCCTGATTAGCTTGTTACAGGCTGGCCCATTTGCTGCTTTAGGTTCTTGCCTGTGTTCAGGACACAGGGAAAGCCCTGGCAGCCCACAGGAAAGATTTTACCTGTGGCCGAGAGCAGAGCTGGCAGGCCCTCCCTTCCCCTGATAAATGAGCGCATTTGGGGTCTAAAATGCCATCCTTTGGAAGCTGTAGAGGCAGCAAGCAACGAGGGATGCCTGTTTGCATGTGACACCTTGGGCATCCGTCGGGATTATAGGGGTCAAGCGTGCTGGGACGGCCCCGGGGGGTTTCCTGCTGGACGCTGGAGCGGGGAAGGGGCAACAGAGGGATCAGTCCGGAGAAGCCCTGTTTAAATGCTCTTCCCCTTTGCATCCACCCTCTGCCTTTGTGAAAGGTGGGGGACGCAGTGGACCTGACTCAGCAGGGCGTCTCTCACAAGGCACGTCCTCCGAGGAGCGGTTTGACGGCCTTTGGCTGTGTGACCGGTCTGCCGTCCCGTGGGCCTGTGGGGGGGGGGTCCAGCCTTTTAAATAAAGACCTGCTCCCTGGCTGCTCTGGACATGCCTCTCTGTGAGCTGATATCTTGGAGGGTCGTGGATCAAAGCAGCAGGAAGACCACGGAGGAAGCAAGCAGGATGGCACAGAGCCTTGGTTAGCTGGCGGGGCGGGTTATCCCGGAGGCTGGTCCTACAACCCCTAGGCTCTTAGTCATTTGGGGTGTGAGCATCCTCCTTCCCCCTGCTTCTCTCCCTCTGCCAACAGCTTCCAGTTCTCTGCACCCTCCGCAGCGCCGGCTCCTTGCCCTGGACACCACAGGACACGGATGGCAGAGCTGCGGGCCTAGGTCAGCAAGCCCCTTTGAGCGTTGCAAATGCCGGGCAATCCGGGCTTCCTCGTGTTTATGCTCTTCCCTCCGCTTCATCCCCCGTTTGCTGTAATTAGAGGCTGTAGCACTGCATGCCTGCTGGCAGCTGCTGCCCTGTTGGGCAGCGAGGATTTGTATGGATGGATAATTACTTTTCTGCATAGCGCCGGAGTCTGGAGGTTGTTGTGCAGCTTGCTTCTTGCATGAAGCAAGGCTTATGTCAGGCCGTGTCCTGTCTGTCCGGGCTTGGCTTTGTCTCCGTGTTTGGAGCATCGAGGGCGATTGGGTCTGGGCTCCGGACTCATTTTCTGTTCGGCGTCAGTGCCGTGACACATGCCTTTTGGAAGCAGAAGCAGCCCCCGATGAGCAAACCAGCCCCCAAAATGCCTTTCCAAAGTCACCTGGCTGCAAAAGCACCTCTGAGGTTGCTGCTGCCTGGGGTGACGGCATCCCGGGCACCCTGCCAGGGCTGACACAGATCAGGAGGGGCGTTTGGGGAGAGGAGCACAGCCACTGTTATCTCAGCCAGATGCACTGGGCCAGCAGAGCCTTGCAGGCACTTAAATGAGAAGTGCATAAATATCACTGCTAAAAACAGAATAAAAATTGGGATCAACCTTTGTGAAGGGGGAGGGAGGAGTGAGGGAGGGGGGGTTCTCCCTGGTGTGCAGCATGTGGTGCCCAGCGTCCACGTGCAAAGGTCCTTGCTGCTGGAAAATGTGCTGGGGGCCAGCGCTCCCATATGTGTGAGCTGCTGGGAAGAGACTCGCGTCCAGATGCTGTGAAACATCTGCGTGGTGGCAGGCACAGGAGAAAGGCTTTGCCTCATGTCATTAGGCTGGCTTGTGGGTCAGGCTCCCCATACCACCCAGAGACTCTCCATGCCCTTTTGGAGGGTGCACTGAGCCCAGGTCTTTGCCCAGCCCTTTTCCAAATCCCCCGGGACAGCCTATGTGGAAGGGTGGCAGGAGGGCGTAGGCAGCATGGATGAGTGAAAAGGGCCGGGGTGTCTGGAAAGGAGGCTGCTATTCTCAACTCTGCCACTGCCCTGCTGCATGACCTTGGGCAAGTCACTTCATCTCTCTCCACCCTTTCTGGGTCGCCTCCACCTGTAAGACTTTTGGGTGGGTGAGGGGGTTGCACCCTACATGGGACCTTGTATCCATGAGTTGCTCCTGTTATACGACTAGTAGTAAGGAGGGAGTAAAGCCAGTGTGCAGGAACCTGGGCCTAGGTCTCCAGCGAGGTTGCATGGCTTCTGCAGCCCTCCCCTCGTACAACAGAAGTGCAGGAAAATGGCTAACCCAGCCAGCTCCTCTTCTGCTGGCATCTAGCAATGCGCCATGCTGGCAGCTGCATCCTAGGAGCCGTCAGAGGGAGACAGAACGGGAAGCTTGGATGGTGGACACCTAGATCCGGATCATCTGGGAGGGCGGGGGCGTTGCACCAGTTTGGCAACTGAAGCATTGGCCTCTGGGCCTCTCCTCTTTTTGCCCCTGCCCAATGCATAAAATGACATAAAATACCGGCCGAAGGTTTGGTTTGGTTTGGTTTGGTTCTTGCGGCGAAGCATCCCTTTGCCATCGTGGGGCTTCATTCGAATAAAAGCTTGGGGAGTGTGGATGCACACCTGCTAGGGCTGGCATCACCTCGTGACCGGCTGGGTCTTGAGGGCTGAGCCATCTAAGTGAGTCTCTCCCTAGCTCTAGCAGCCTGGTACATGCATTGGCCATGGTCCTCCATCCTTTCAGCCAAGTTTTTGTCCCTGAAAAACTCTTCTTCCAAGCAGGCAAGAGCTCCTCCGCCAGCCAGTTATGCAGCCCAGTCCCGGTGGCCAAGACAGTTCTCCTTGATGCCTTGCAACGGGAGGGGATTTCTTTTGCTCCTTGTGCATCCTTGGTCCCCGGTGCCTCCTGCTTTGAGCTCCTGTGCCCATTCATTCATCCCATCTACTGACCCAGGATTAATCGATTGAGCCCAGCTCTGTTCTGGTGGCAAGGACACAAGGAAACTTCCCCCTGCACTCAGAGGGTGCGATCTAACCATCCTCCTCCTCTTCCTCCTCCTGCTTCCTGGCTTGTTCCTGACCCCTCAGCCAGCAGGTCCCTTCTGGGTGCCCCGGGCTGCCTGGATGTGGGGGTGGCTTTGCGCTGTCGGGACCGAGGCGGGAGCAAGCCCGTGACTACGGCGGGAGTGGGATTGTGCAAGCAAATTCCAAGCCGAGCCCTTGATCATAATATTTGGTGTAACCCCCGGTGCATCCTGCCTGCGAGACCCTCTTCTCCAAACAAGGGGCCCCTGTCAGCAGGGTCTGGTGTGGAGACAGATAAGGAAGCATGTCGTGTTTTGTTTGGGGGTTTTGTAAGTGGCTTTATCCAGGTGGAAGTCAGAAATGCCCCTTTTCCCAGCCAAAAATCCTTCTCCTCGCAGCGCTGGCTCTGAAAAGGCCACAGATGTGTGGGAGGCATTTCGGAGTCGGCCGTGGGTGTTGTGTTTCACTGACATGTTTGCTGCACCGCTTGGCCGGGCTCCTTGCACTGTGCAATGCCAGAGAGGTTTTGAGGTGCCAGCAGCAGTGCCCGAGACCCGGCGGCTGCGTTAGGGGCAGGGGGGGGGCC